AGCATGACTCACCATACACACAAGCATGACTCACCATACACATGAGCATGACTCACCATACACACAAGCATGACTCACCATATACACAAGCATGACTCACCATACACATAAGCATGACTCACCATACACATAAGCATGACTCACCGTACACATAAGTATGACTCACCATACACGAACAGCATGACTCACCATACACATACATCATGACTCATCATACACATAAGCATGACTCACCATACACGTACAGCATGACTCACAATACACATAAACATGACTCACTAATGACTCACCATACACATACATCATGACTCATCATACACATAAGCATGACTCACCATACACGTACAGCATGACTCACCATACACATAAGCATGACTCACCATACTCGTACAGCATGACTCACCTGCGCCAGGGCCCACCGTCGAGGCGACCGTGACGCCCACGCCCATTAAGACGGTGCTCTCTCTGATCTCGCCTATGCACAGCGAGTGGTAGTACGCCAGGATGTACCTACACATGACCTCGTGTGCGTCTATCTGTTCATTGCCCTGAGCCATAAAGGTGTTGGCCGGCTGAAGGCCGCGAGAGGCATCGAACATGCACGCGCGGTTCAGCATAATGGCGGCGGATCTGTTGAGAGAGAGAGAGAGTGTGTGCGAGGGGATGTAACTACGTGAGGTGGTTGTGCACAAGTACGATGTCACAGGATGTGTGGGTGTGTGTGGGTGTGTTCCCAGAGGTCGTCCGTTGCACCTCTTGGCATATCTGGCGAACATGGTTTTTATGTTGTGCGTGGTGGCTAAAACCCTAAAACCTTTACAATTGCGCGTGGTGGAGTATGGCTCACTTTGCATGACAGTTTATCTCTCTCTTCCTACGTGTGTATGAATCTTTCTGTACGAGGCAAAACCCTAAGCCCTATCCCTGTATACTATCTCTGCCGTATACCATAAACCCCTAACGAGCTATTTAATACTCAGCACACGCCGGACGCATACTAACCCACCCCCCACACCACCGAATCACTGCAAGTGTATTCCTATAAAAGGAGTTTAGAGGAGATATAAACCCTAAAACCTTTCCGATATATAAGCATGTGTATGTCCAGTACCTATAACGCACGCACAAACCTACACCACCCCCCCTCACCTGATGCACAGTTGCAGCTGAGCTTGTCGACCCACACATAGTAGGTGCGGTGGCTGGCCTGTGTCTTCGGCGCAGACAGATGTCTCACACTCCGGCCAAGCAGGGTCGGTGGCCCACCGGAAGTACATGGAGGTAGGTAGCATCATCTGGCGATACCTACCAAACAGCGGGTTAAAGCGGGACGAAAAGCGGGACGAGACGAGACGGAACAGGACGGTGTCAAAGGCTTCATTCTGGTGCATGTGTTGGAGTGCGACTGAAAGCGAATAACTAGCGATAGCAGATATGGGTAGTATGAACTGATGATGTACACAGTATAGAGGGCAAAAGCGGGATGAAAACCGGGACGTTTAATTTCTGAAAGTTGGAAATGGGGCATGTGATAAGAGTGTGGGAAGCAGAATCTAGAGATAGATGATGCAAGGGCCATCATCTGACGAAAGATACAGCACAGCGGATATA